GAATGGCACAGCGGGCCCGGCCAAGCACCGCTGTTCGCCCTTGCTGGAGGCTGCCCGGCGCCCTGCGCCTCTCCGCCCCGACCCACGGCGCGCCGGGTGGAAGCAAGTCAGCCTTGGCGCGGATCAGCACCTGGCTTGCAAACGGGTTGCGGAGTGGAGCCTTGGTGAGCCGCGGCCCTAGCGCGGTGTCCTACCCGGCCGGGAAAACAAGTTCCTGCGAGTGCATCCTCTGTACCGCTCTGCTCCCCCGCTCCCCACCCCCAGCTAGGGCAGGGTTCCCGTCTGAGCCCAGCAGGCTTTAGCAACCAACCAGACCTGCTCAGGGAGCCTGCCCACCGGGGCCAATAGCTCATGTTCCTAACAGCCAGAGTGGAGAAACCTTGTGATTTCTGAGTGTGAGTGTGAGTAGGAAGGGAAGGGATTACAAAGAAGCCCATGAAAACTTTTGCAGGTGACGGGTGTGTTCATTATCTTGATTGTGGTGATGGTTTCACTGATGAATACATAGATCAAAGCTCATAAAATTGTACATTTTAAGTGAGTATAGTTTGTTATATTCAATTATATGTTAATAAGGCTATTTTACAAACCAAGTTTCATTGCATTGTGCATTATGATTTATCTTATTCTCGTTCTCCTTTCAGTTTTTTTCAGAAATAAACTATCTTGGTTTTTAAAGCCTAAATGTCAAAACCTTATCAATGGATAGAAGAATTTTATGTTAGGATGAAAATGTCAGGACTGTGGTCTGGAAAGATGAAGATGTGTTTCTGTTTTATAAGACATTTCATTAAGAGTAAGAGTGGATCAAATTGAGATTTAGACTTTGTAGGTCAGTTTATTGAATGTTGGAATGAGATGACACATATCTTGGCTGGGCTGCTGTAACAGAATACCACAGATTGCAAGGCTTATAAACAACGGAAATTTATTCTGCACAATTCTAGAGGCTGGGAAGTTCATGATCCCGGTGCTGGCAGACACTGATGTCTGGAGAGGGCCACTTCCTGGTTCATAGACCACAGTCTTCTTACCGAGTCTTCACCTGGTGGGAGGGATTAGGGAGCCTCTGAGATCTTTTTTATAAGAACACTAATTGTGGGGATCGCCCCTGCGAGAGGCTAACAACTTGACCTCCGCCATTAGGTGAGCTTGATTCCTTACACGTTTTCCCTGGCTGGAGGCTGTGGAGCTATGGGCAAGAAAAATTGGGAGAAGCATGACTAAACAGAACACTATTTTCAGCCTTCTTGGTTGATGAGATAATGGCTGGGTGAATGCTGAAGTGATTCAACTGGGTATTGTGTTCCCCTTTCTGGCTTCTAATCTTAACCAGTTCTGTGACTTTGTTTACCAGGCATTGTTTCAGCCTGGTGACCTCCCCTGCAGCCCTCGTCTTTTGCAGATGCATGATTTACTGCTGAGCTTGTGACTTCTAGATAATTGAAGATTGTTATCTGAGTTACTGGTTGTTCTGATAATATTGATAATCAGCATCACCTACTTCCCCCTTGACCTTTTAAATCAGTATCTGTTCCTTTTACTAGTTCCCCAGAATTGTTTGCTGTTTCTTTTGTTATTTAAGAAATGCTTTGATCTGACTTAAACAACATTAAGTAGAAAAGTATATAATGGAACCTACTGCACAAATAAAATTGCTGCTTAGGCATAGCCTAATCAGTCCTCCAGACCCCTCTCTCTGTCTCCTTTTTTTCCACACACGCCCTCTTCCAGGTTTGGGACCCTCTTGCTGGATGAGATTCCCAGGCTCGAGTTCAGTTCACAACAACTAATCCCATTCATGAGGGCCTCATCTTTATGTCTTAATCATCTGCCAACATCTCCACCTCCAAATATCATCACATTAGGATTCAACATAGGAATTTTGGGAAATACAAACTTCCAATCTATAGTAACACCCTAGTGATCATCGTTTTTTGTTGCCTTCCCCTCCCCACTACTTCCCATCTTAAATAATTTTACAGGCATCAAATAAGTTAAATCAGTGCATGTGATGTACTTAGGAGGACATCTAACACATGGTAGAAGCTCAATAAATACTAGTTGTTTTTGTTATTACAACAGAAATGAAGGAGCTTTCCTAAGAGTAGAGGTCATGAAACCTCTTGAAGCCTGAATCTCCTTTACAGCATCCTAGCTGAGTGCTTGTTACACTAAGATGCTTCCTTCTCCATACCCCTTTCATGGAGTCTGCTCTGCCCACAGCCCTGGAAGGGGCAGCCCCAGTCCCCAGGTGACCACACTCCCTGTTCACTAGGGATGGAATCAAGAATGAATACCTGGCTCAAGCAGAGCCAATAGATACTCTCTCCAAGTAATATAAAAACAGAATTGAGAAACAAAGTGACTAGACTGACTCAACAAATTGAGTTAGAGAAGGAAGTGTAGCTGGGAACCCAGGTGAGCTCCAGGGGACATGGAATGGGATAGTAGCATAGAGAAGCTGTTCAGCAGAGAGGGACAAATAGAACAGTGAAAGGAGGAAGTAGAGAACAGTGCATACATAGCCCTGATGGTGGTGGATGAAGACAGGAATTGCCTGACACTTTTCTGGTCTCAAATCTCTCCCCTGAGCACCTAGTTGGCCTTCTCTGAGGAACTGTTCTGAGTTCTGCACAGTCACTTATTTGTTTAAAACAACAATTACGCAGCACGTGCTAGTACTACCCCCAATTCAGAGGTAGGGAATGCAGTACTTTGTTACAGAAATGCCAAGGGAACATCCTGTTGCTTGCAGTAAAGAAAGCCAATCACTGGCTTGAGGATTTTGTGGGAAGAAGGCTTTCTTTGGTGCTGCCAAATAAAAATAAGCTGAAGTAAGTCTCAAATATCTGACCAACTAAAATTGGGGGTGTACATAGTGGGGAAGGGGTGTAGCTACCTTCCCTACTGTACACACCCCTAATTATAGTTGGTGAGAGAAGGGTTTTAGGAAGGACAATTGGTTGATGGGAAGCAGATGGTTGAGGAAAACAGAAATTATGAAGAGTAAGGAGAGGAGTCTGGTGTCTCCTTATTTGGATGTGGTGATGTGATTTCACTTCCTCCATACTATCTGAAAGTCAGAAAGTTTCTGAAAAAGAAATTCAGGAAAGGCAAATTTAGGTTTTAAGCATTAAGAAAAGCAGGGTCCTGTTGTGTACTGAACGCGAGCCCGGGAATCTCATCCAGCGAGAGGGTCCCAAAACTGGAAGAGAGCGTGCGCTGGAAAAAAAGGAGATAGAAAAGAGCGATATGAGGTAGAAAGGAGATAGAAAATTGCTGCTATGCTCATGCAGCAATTTTATTTTTGCAATATGTTTCATTATATACTTTTCTGAAGTTAAAGTTGTTTACGCCAGATCAACGTACTTAAGTTACAGTAAGCAAGTTATGCCCACTAAGTTACGCCCAGTAAGTTAAGCCCAGTAAATAGGTTACACCCAGCAAGCAAGTTACAGTTATGCCCTGTAAGCTATGGTAAGTAAGTTACAGTTACACCCTGTAAGATATGCTAAGTAAGTTACAGTTACACCCATTAAGTTACAGTAAGTAAGTTACCAACTGTAGATACTTAAGATAATATTTTACAATGAAGGTAACAAGGGTCCAAAATGAACACAATCAAGCAATAAACCATAGGAAGCTGAAAGTGGACACAATGCCTTCCAAGTCCTCATATTCATAAAGTAATGTCTGTTAATTATTTTGAATAACGTAGTCTTTCTCTCAGTTCCTGCTTTCCCTCAGCTCGACTCCCCCAACCAGGGATCTGTGTCTGGGCTCAAGATCACCTTATGGCGAGGCCCATTTCCTAGGGGCCTCACACAGGAGTGATTCCCACAGGTCTCCCTTAGGGTCCATTTCTATGTTTAATAGAAAAAGTGACAAACATTAGTTCTCTGGGGAAATTGAGCTAGTTTCACCTTCACACACCAGAACTTCTTCCATCTTTGGGCAACTCTTACTATTCAGTAAATGTTTTCCTTATATTCAGGTACAATCTGTTTTGTAGCTTCCAAGTATTTGTCCTAGCTCCTTCTCTTGGGGACTCTCAGAGCAATCTATACCTCCTCCCAAGTGATAGTCCTTTAAATATTTTTAAAATGCCATTGAACCTCAGGCACCTCAGTGCTTAGTATGGCACAGTGTTGAGTGTGGCCTATGACAGCAGTGTCCAACCCCTGCTGGTTATGTGACTTTGGGCAAGTCACCTACCCTCTTGAAGCACCAGATTACCCCTCCGTAATACAGGAATAATTGCCTGACCTTGCTTCCCACAAGTGTGGAGGATAAAGTGAAATACAGCATGTAAAGCATTTGGCACAATGGCGAGTGTACACTAGAGGCTCCTAAGTGTTGGCTAGGATCATCCTCTCTCAGCTCATCGACATCACATCATGAGGCTTTCACATCTTGAGTCTGTCATCTAACCTGCTTTCTGTCCCACCTGGCTTTGTTATTGTTGCATTTTTCAGCTTTACAGAGGTATAACTGACAAAAATTATAGGACGGTGAGGTGGCTCACACCTGTAATCCCAGCACTTTGGGAGGCTGAGGTAGGCAAATCATGAGGTCAGGAGTTCAAGATCAGCCTGGCCAACATGAAGAAACCCCATCTCTATTAAAAATACCAAAAAAATTTAGCTGGGTGTAGTGCCAAGTGCTTGTAAACCCAGCTACTCGGGAGGCTGAGGCAGGAGAATCTCTTGAACCCAGCAGGCAGAGGTTGCAGTGAGCTAAGATCTTGCCTCTGCACTCCTTCCCCAGGAGACAGAGTGAGACTCCATTTCAAAAAAAAAAATGTATATATTCAACTATATGACATGATCATTTGACGTACATATACATTGTGAATGATTACCGCAATCACGTTAATGAACATATCCATCACCACACACAGTTACCATTGTGTGTGTTGTGTGTTTGGTGAGGGTACCTGTCCGACCTACCCTCTGCGGGAAGACTGGGCTCATTGGGAAAGAAACCGGACCGCAGGCTAGAGGAAATTCCTTAAGTTCAGGCTTTATTGAGAGGAAAGAGCCTCCGGGCGGGCCAGCTGGGACGAAAAGGAAAAATGGCCGCGCTGCTCAGAGGGGCAGGGTTGTTTTATAGGGGGCTGAAGGGCTGGGGGGTGGGGAAGCCAAAAGCCGAGGTGGTGGGCAACTGTTGGTCAGTTTGAACTGCTGGGTGGGAAACTGGGCGGCGGGAAGCTGGGCGGCGGGAGGGCTAGGACCGGTATGTAAAGTGAGAGATAAGGGAGCCTCTTTGTGGGGGGAGGGAAAGAGAGAGATTTTGCGGTAGGGGCAGAGTTTTCCAAACATTCCCGACTCCTTAAAGAAAAGAAAAAGAGGGGGTCAGGGGCGTCAGTTGTCTCTCTAGCTACTTCCTGCTGACAAGGGTCGACGGGGGGTTCTGAAGAGGTCTCTTTTCCTAAGGAGCCTGGATGTTCGGGGAGAGGTCTGTTTCTTGCACTCGTTCAGGGTAGGGTTGGAGCAGCATCTGGTGGATGGTGACTCGAGTCAGTTCTTGAAAGCGCCGCTATAGGAACTGTAGAAAGCAAGGAGCAATAAGTAAGATTAGGCAAACAGCTACTAGGGGCCCAAGCAATGGGGACAAGAGGGTATACATAGAGGAAGACCACCACGCCGTGGCTTCAGCCGAGAACTTCTGACTCTGCAGGTTAGTTTTGAGTTTCTGGAGGCTCTCGATTCGGGTTTCTACTAGGCCGGATTCATTGATGTAGTAACAGCACTCTTCTTGTAGGAAGATACAGGTCCCTCCTCGTTCAGCAGTGAGCAGGTCCAGGGCTCTTCGGTTCTGCAAGGCAACTTGGGCAACTGAGGTGATCTGTCGTTGGAGTGATGCTAAAGACTCAGTAGAGTCATCAATAGCCGCTTGGAGTTGTGAGGTCAGTCGGGCTATGGCCAGGTGAGAGTGGACTAGTGCCCCTCCTCCTAATCCTGAGTAAAGTAGGGGAGGTAGCTGTCTAGAGGAGTAGTCTCTGGTGGTGGGGGAGTTGAAAGCAGGAAGGGGCAACCATACAGCAGCTCAAATGGGCTAAGCTGTGATGGGCCCCGGGGGCTTGCTCTTACTCTGGTGAGGGCGATAGGAAGTAAGGTTACCCAGGATTGGCGGAGCTCAAGCATGAGCTTGGTCAGATGCTCCTTTATTAGGCCATTGGCCCGTTCTACCTTACCAGAGGACTGGGGATGGTAGGCAGCATGTAGCTTCTACTGAATTCCTGGTAGAAACGGCATTAGTGACTTTGGAGATAAAGGCTAGGCCGTTGTCTGACTGTATGGTAGCTGGGAGTCCAAAGCGTGGGATGATGTCTTGAATGAGATGAGTGGCTACTGTCCCGGCAGACTCAGAGGCTGTGGGGTAAGCTTCAATCCAGCCTGAAAAAGTGTCAACAATGGTTAGCAGATACCGGTACTGTTTGTGCTTTGGCATATAGGTGAAATCAATTTGCCAGTCTTGGCCAGGTAGGAACCCGCGTAGCTGATGAAGCTGGCGCCGGGGATGACAGGAACCCTGGGAATTAGTTTTCGCGCAGACAGTACATGAGGACTGGACTTCCTGTATGGTACTGAGGAGGCGGTGGGGGTGAAAAAGTGGGTTGAGGAACTGGTATAAGGCTTTAGGCCCAATGTGGAGTGAATTATGGATGTCTTGGATTATCTGGTACCTTTGCTTTTCAGGGAGAATGAGGAGGTTATGCTTGAAGGCCCAGTCATCCTTGAACTGTACCCCGGGGGTAGACTGGAGGGTCTGGAGTTCTGAGGCAGAGTATTGAGGGCTAGGAGAAAAAGGCTATGTGGGCTGGCGGTGGGGAAGGTTATGACGGCCTTCAGCTTTGAAAGGATGTCTCGCCCCAGAAGGGGAACTGGGCAGGTGGGGATTACTAAAAAGGAGTGGGTGAATGGAGTGGAGTTATATGAGCACATGAGTGGTGGGGTTTGGTAGGGGATACTCGGGGTCCCATCGATTCCCATGACTAAGACCTGGGAAGGGGTGAGATGGCCAGAATAAGAAGGAAGTGCGGAGTAGGTAACCCCCATGTCTTGTGACCCTAGGCTCGGCGAGGGTAACCGGAGTCAGAAAGCCAGGGCCCCGCTAGTCATCTAGCAGCCCTAGTAGACTGGGGAACGGAGCTCCCTCGGAGGTCGGTTCCTGGCAAGCAGGCTCCTCCATACTGAGGGTGACTGCCGGCTGTGTAACACCAGTGTGTCTGTTTTGAGGAACCGGCACCCTGGGGAAGCTGGGGCAGTCTGACTTCCAGTGTCCCAGGAGCCGACAGATAGGGCAAGGCTTAGTTGGTGGCCATGGTTGTGGACAGGCTCGGGACCAGTGTCCTTCCTTTCCACATTTGAAACATGCCCCTGGAGGGGCATGGGTTTCGGCCTTGGGCTTCTGGTTCCCTGCCGGCCTTAGAGCCGCCACTAGGGCTTGGGTCTGGAGGGCAGCCTTCTGCTTCATGCGAGTTTGGCGGGCAGCCTCAGCCGCATCTTCCCTGGCATTGAATACTTTAAAGGCCATTTTTACCAGGTCTTGGATGGGAGTCTCTGGCCCCTCTTCTGCTTTCTTTAGTTTCTTTCTTATGTCGGGTGCTGATTGGGAGATAAAATGGGAGGCTAATACAGTGGCCCCATTTTGGGAGGCTGGATCTAGTCGAGTGTACCGGACTAGGGCTTCTTATGTTTGAGTGAGGTATTGGAATTCTTTAATATAGGTGGACGGGTTGGCTGAGAAGGATCCTAAACGTTTCTCAATTTGGGACAGGTCTTGGAGTGAGAAAGGAACATGGACCCTGATTAAACCTTCTGCGCCTGCTACTTCTCGGAGTGGGGCCAGGATAGCTGGCTGGTGGGAGCGGGTGTGGGCCGCCACCGGAGAGGCAAGAGGAAGTGCAGCCTCTGAGGGAGGGGGCTCGGAGGGAGTAGAGGGAGAGTGAGGCATGGCCTCTGAGGTAGGAGGTGCAGAGGGAGTGGGGGAAGGGCGTGCCATTGATGGCGAGTGGTTGCTGAGATTGGCAGGAGAGGACAGATGTTCAGGCAGATCCTCCGGTGAGGAGTAGGGAGGGGGAGAGGTAGTGGAGGAAGATTTACGGGGGGGTTCGAGATAAGAGGATTTGGTAGGTGGAGCATGAAGAACATAGGTTGGGGTGGGTACGGAGGTCCCAAAAAGCCTGGACGTAAGGAATTTCATTGTCCTTGCCCGCGCGGCGACAAAAATCGTCGAGATCTCGGAGGGTGTTGAAATCAAAAGTGCCAGTCGGGGGCCAATGTGACTGGTTACTGAGTTTGTATTGGGGCCAAGCCACGTGGGACAGGAAAATAAGCTTTTTCTTTCTGAGGGTTTGGGAATATCCCAATTTGGTAAAATTTCGCAGCAAGCACCCGAGGGGGGTGCTCAGAGGTATTTTGGACTCCGAATTTCCCATGGCAGGCGCAGCTACAGACTCTCCGGCGCGGATGGGCAGATGCAATGAAAAGGCGTCCCCGTTCGTTGCAAATTCCCCGGAGTACAATTAAGTACGGAAAGGGAAGCGGTCAGAGGGGCGTCCCCCGTCTGGCGGCTGTCCCTCGGAAGGCTCCTGGAGCCGGAACGGAAGACTACCTTGGCTCGGCCGAGACTAGGCAAGGAGTCCGTGCGGAACACCGGAGAGGGAGCAACTGCACCGTGCCGTAGGAAGAGGAGACGGGAAGCGGGGGAAGGCAAAGCAAGAAAAACTTGGCTTACCTTAATCGGAACGTGGAGGTGGCAGGGCCAGTGTTGGGTAGGTCGGGGAGGGGGGCCGTGGCCGGGCCAACGGCCCCAGCTCCCGTCCCGGGTTTCGGCACCATTTGTCCGACCTACCCTCTGCGGGAAGACTGGGCTCATTGGGAAAGAAACCGGACCGCAGGCTAGAGGAAATTCCTTAAGTTCAGGCTTTATTGAGAGGAAAGAGCCTCCGGGCGGGCCAGCTGGGACGAAAAGGAAAAATGGCCGCGCTGCTCAGAGGGGCAGGGTTGTTTTATAGGGGGCTGAAGGGCTGGGGGGTGGGGAAGCCAAAAGCCGAGGTGGTGGGCAACTGTTGGTCAGTTTGAACTGCTGGGTGGGAAGCTGGGCGGCGGGAAGCTGGGCGGCGGGAGGGCTAGGACCGGTATGTAAAGTGAGAGATAAGGGAGCCTCTTTGTGGGGGGAGGGAAAGAGAGAGATTTTGCGGTAGGGGCAGAGTTTTCCAAACAGTACCTAAGGTCTACTCTTTCAGCAAATGTTAAGTAAACAATACAGTATTATTAACTATAGTCACCATGCTGTACATTAGAGCCAACTTATACAACTTATGACTGAAAGTTTGACCAACATTAAAGTTTGACCCTTTGACCAACATCTCCCCCAGCCCCTGACAACCACCGTTCTACTCTCTGCTTCTTTAAGTTTGACTTTTTAGGTTCCACATGCAAGAAAAATCATGTAGTATTTGTATTTTGACATCTAGTTTACTTAAGTAGCATGTCCTAATGTTCTCCAGATTCACCCATGTTGTCACAAATGGCAGGATTTCCTCCTTTTTATGGTTGAATAATATTCCATTACAAATCTATGTATATTTATATCTATCTACTGTTGCATTGAACTGAGCACAGAAAGTCAACACCAGAACAAAAGTATGCCAAATTGCAGGGTTTATTGCCGGCGACCACAGAGGACTCATGTCTCTCCAACCCATGGCAGAGAAAGAGTGACAAGACCTTTTTATACCCACAAAACCACCTTGGGAGTGGGGGTGAGGAGCGGAGATGGGAATGAAAGCTGTCAATCACCTCCTAGGCTGAGATGAGGGTGAGGGGGCTCCAGATATTCCAAGGGACAGGGGACTTTTGTCATTCCGATTGCCACTTAAGTGGTTTACAGAGGTCAAGATAAACATTAGTTTATACATTATTTGGACAGGTGTGGGGTCCACATAATTTTAGGTTACTTGGCGCCAGGATGGAATTATCTGGGAGTGCTTACTTTGGTAAACAAAGGCCAGCAATTCTGGCAGTTACAGATAAGAGAAAGTATGCAGCTTTTCCTCTTTGCATTTTGCAAGGTAATCTTAGTAGTTTACAAAAGCCATGGTTAGCAGTCATTGTGAGGAGAATGGAAACAGTTTTCCCATTTTAAAATGGCATTGTACTGGTTCTAATTCTAGGCCAGCTATATCACACTACCTATGTATCTATATCACATTTTCTTAATTGGCCTGTCAATGAATGCTTAGGTTGTTTCCATTCTTGGCTACTGTGAAGAGTGCTGCAATAAACATGGGGGTACAAATCTCTCTTGGAGATGCTGATTTCATTCCCTTTGGATACAGACCCAGAAGTGGGATTGCTGGGTCATATGTTAGTTCTGTTTCTAACAGAACTGTTTTCTGTGCTGTTTTCCATAATGGCTATACCCATTACTGTTTCCACTAACAGTGTGCAAGGGTTCCCTTTTCTCCACACACTTACGAACACTTGTGTTTTTATTTTAATGATCACCACTGTAACAGATTCAAGGTGATATCTCATTGTGATTTTGATTTGCATTTCCTTGATGATTAGTAATGTGGAGCACCTTTTCATGTATTTGTCTCCCACTTGTACGCTTTCTTTGAAAAAATGTGTATTCATGTCCTTTGCCAGCTTTTAAAACTCAGATTTTGTTTTTGTTTTTGCTATTGAGTTGTATGAGTTCTTTCTGTGTTAAAAACGAACATTGGATATTAATTCTTTATTAGATATACGGGTTGCAGGTATTTTCCCCCATTCTGCGGGTTGCCTTTTCACTCCATTGATTATTCTTTTTGTTGTGCAGAAGCTTTTTAGTTTGATATAGTCCCAGTTGTTTAGTTTTGCTTTTGTGTGCTTTTGGTGTCATATCAAGAAAATTATTACCAACATCAACGTTAAGAAGCTTTTCCCCTATGTTTTCTTCTAGTAGTTTCAGTTTTAGGTCTTACATTTAAATCTTGATACATTTAATTTTTGTATAGGTTGTAAGATAAAGGTCCAATTTCATTCTTTGGACGTGGTTACCAAGTATTCCCAATACCATTGATTGAAGAGACTATCCTTTCCCTATTGCATATTCTTTATACCCCTGTCAAAGATCAGTTGACCATTTATGTGTGAGCTGATTTCTGGGCTCTCTGTTCTGTTCCATTAGTGGTCTGTATGTCTGGCCAAGGACTGCCCCACAGACCTCTTCCCCTCATCTCCATTTGGCAATTCCCTCTTTGGTGATCTTCTTTGTCCTACAAATTCCAGCCACTTTAGCTGCCCGAAGCTCTGATCTCTGCCTTCTATGCCTCTTGAGACCCCTGTGCTGTGCTTGGACTTCAGCTTATAGCACCATGGGAACTGTCCCCAGGCAGACAGTCGTAGGGCTCACCATGGGAATTTCCCTTCTCTCAAGGATAACAGTCCTACACAGCCTGTTGTCCACTGCCTGATAATAGTTGCCTATTTTCTTTATTCCTGGGATGCAAGGAAGTTTAATATATGCATAGTAATAAATATGATTCACCACAGAAGCAGAATTAAAAACAATAACCAAATGATCATCTCAATAGAAGCAGAAGAAGCTTTCAAAAAAATCCAACATCGCTTCAAGGCAAAAACTCTCAACAAACTAGTCATTGAAGGAACCTGCCTGAAAATAATAACAACTGTCTATGATAAACCCACAGTTAACATCATACTGAATGGGCAAAAGCTGGAAATATTCCCCTTAAGAACAGGAACAAGACAAGGATGCCCACTCTGACCACTTCTATTCAAGGTAGTACTGGCAGTCCTAGCCAGAGCAATCAGGCAAGAGAAACAAAGTCAAGACATCCAAATAGGAAAAGAAGAAGTCAAGCTCTCTCTCTTCACTGTCGATATGATCATCACCAGAAAACCTTAAAGACTCTGCCAAAATGCTCCTGGAATTGAGAAATGATTTCAGCAGTTTTAGGAGACATAATGTATTAATAACTAAATACAAAAATTAGTTATTCTCTACACTAATAACATTCAAGCTGACAGCCAAATCAAGAATGCAATCCCATTTATAACAAACAAACAAACACACACACACACACACACCCCTAGGAATACATATAACCAAGGAGACGAGAGATCTCTACAGGGATAACCTCAAACTACTGCTTAAAGAAATCATAGATGACACAAGCAAATGGAAGAACATTCCACATACATAGGTTGGAATAATCAGTACCACTAAAATGGCCATACTGCCCAAAGCAATCTACAGATTCAATGCCATTCCTATTATACTTTCAGTGTTATTTTTCACACAATTAGAAAAAAACTAGTCTAATATTCATATGGAATGCAGAAACAGCACCATTAGCCAAAGCAATCCTTAAAAAAAAAAAAAAAAAGGCAGAGGCCTCACATCACCTGACTTCAAGCTATTCTGTAAGACTACAGTAACCAAAACAGCATGGTACTCGTACATAGTGAGGACATGCAGCATTTGGTTTTCTGTTCTTGAATTAATTGGCTTAGGAAAATGACTGGAGCAGAATAGAGAACCCAGAAATAAAGCTGCACATCTGCAGCCATCTGATCTTTGACAAAGTTGATACAAATATGCAATGGGAAAAAGTACTCTCTATTCAATAAATGGTGCTGGGATAGCTGGCTATCTATATGCAGGAAAATGAAACTGGACCCTCAACTTTTACCATACACAAAAATCACCTCAAGATGGATTGAAGATTTATTTGTTTGTTTGTTTGCTTGCTTGCTTGTTTATGGAAATGGAGTCTCACTCTTGTCACTCAGACTAAAGTGCAGTGGCCACAATCTCAGCTCATTGCAACCTCTGCCTCACAACTAGCTGGGACTGTAGGTGCTTGCCACTACACGCAGCTAATTTTTGTATTTTTAGTAGAGACGATGTTTCACCATGTTGCCCAGGATGGTTTCGAACTCCTGACCTCAGGTGATCCACCTGCCTCGATCTCCCAAAGTGCTGGAATTATAGGCATGAGTCACCACACCTAGCCAGGTTGGAGATTTAAACATAAGACCTCAAACTATAAGAATCCTAGAAGAAATTTTCAGAAATACCATTCTGGACATTGGCCTTGGGAAAGAATTTTTAACAAGTCCTCTAAAGCAATTGTGACAAAACCAAAAATTGACAAGTGAGACCTAATTAAACTAAAGAGCTTCTGCAGGGTAAAAAGTAACTATCAACAGAGTAAACAGACACCTACAGAATGGGAGAACATAGTTGCAAACTCTGCAGCCAACAAAGGTCTAATATCTAGAATCTATAAGAAACTTAAACAATTCAACAAGCAAAAACCAAATAACCCCATTTAAAAGTGATCATAGAACATGAACAGACACTCTTAAAAGAAGACATACAAGTGGCCAACAAACAAAAAAATTCTCAGCATCACTAATTATCAGAGAAATGCAAATCAAAACCACAATGAGATACCATCTCACGCCAGCCAGAATGTCGATTATTACAAAGTCAAAAAATGGGTGGATTGCTGGGCGGACCGGTCATGGAGAAGAGAGGAGAGTAGTGGGCCACTGAATTAGCTAAAATGATGCCCGCACCTGTTATCCTGTTGAAAGAGGGGACTGATAGCTCCCAAGGCTTCCCCCAGCTTTCGAATAACATCAGTGCCTGCCCGGTGATTGCAAAAGCTGTAAGAACCACCCTGGGTGCCCATGGCATAGACAAGCTTATTGTGGATGGCGGGGGGAGGGTGGGGAGGGATAACAAGGGGAGAAAATAAAGAGCATCAACATAAAGAAGAATTTGCATCAACGAATGGATAAAACAGCCAGTTAACATCAAACGGCAGTAATCCTAAATTTAAATCGACTAAATCCCCCAACCAAAAGATACAACCCAAACCCAACGGTAGGCTACATCCAGACCCATTTCACATGCAAGGATACACAAAGACTCAAAACAAAGGGATGGAGAAAGATTTACCAACCAAATGGAGAGCAAAAATAAATAAATAAATAAATAATAAAAAGCAGGAGTTGCAATTCTCGTATCTGATAAAATAGATTTTAAAGCAACAAAGACATAGCGGTAAAAGGATCAATACCACAATAAGAGCTAACGATCCTAACACCCAGATACATAGAGACTTAGACTCAATGAGACAGAAAATTAATAAGGATATCAAGAACTTGAACTCAGATCCAAAACAAGTAAACTCAATAAATATTTATAGAGCTCTCCACTTTAAATACACAAAATATACATTCTTGTCATACCACATCACACCATAGGTTTGAATGAAATATTGATTGGCCATTATTAATACCCATTTTTTTTTAGAATAAAGCAACATTTCCATTCTCTCTCCCTCTTTTTCTTCCTCTTTCTTCCTCTCCTTCGCTCCTTTTTTTCTTTCCTTCTCTCAAAAAAAAACCCTGTCTCTACTGAAAATATGAAATATAGAAAATTAGCCAGGTGAAATGTCTCATGCCTGTAATCCCAGCACTTTGAGAGGAGGAAGTTCAGTGTGGGTGCCTCTAAACATTCTCTTATCTGTATCTGATAGATTTTGATATTTTGTATTTTCATTTTCATTCATTTCAAAATACTTTCTAGTTTTCTTTGTACTTTTTCTTTGATATATAGTTATTTAGATATCCAAACATTTGAGGATTTTTCCAAATCCAAAAATATTTGAGGATCTCTTCCTGATGTTGATTTCTAGTTTATTTCCATTGCAGTCAGACAAGATGCTTTGCATGATTTCAACCCTTTATATTTGTTGAAATAAATTATTTATTTATTTATTTATTTATTTGAAAGAATTTATTTGTTTATTTATTTATTTGAAAGGGAGTCTCACTCTGTCATTCAGACTGGAGTGCAATGGTTCAATCTCGGCTCACTGCAACCTCCACCTCCTGAGTAGCTGGGACTACAGGCACATGCCATTATACCTGGTTAATTTTTGTATTTTTAGTAGAGATGGGCTTTCGTCATGTTGGCCAAGCTGGTCTTGAACTCCTGACCTCAAATGATCTGCCCATCTCGGCCTCCCACAGTGCTGGGATTACAGGCATGAGCTATTATTTTAGAGAGAGATTTATTTCATGATCCAAAAATGGCCCTTCTTGGTGAATGTCCTCTATATACCTGAAAAGACACTCCCTGTCAACCCCTTTGCTCTATCATTTAGCTTTGATCAGCTTTTTCTCTCTTCTGTCACATCAGCAGAAACAATGCCAAGAAATGCCAGAGACAACAAAACAGGAACGTGTCATGGGCACACAGAACTCTTTTTCCCTGGGTGCTGATCCTCCCTGTGACAGACAAATCTATGTGACACAATGGGGAGGCTCTCCCCAGATGTTGGAAGATACATTTCTTTCCCTTGAATTCTAACATACCCTTCCCAGGGCCCGTCTTGCCCCTCACCTGCCTCCCATTTCCGTTCAGCTTAGCTGTGGGCACCGACCTCCATCGGCACTTGAGCCCTGCCTGCTCCTGCCCAGACAGGAAGCCCTTCAGCAGCAGGCTTAGCCACCAGGATGAGGCTGGGAGTCAGAAACCCCCAGGTGTCCATGGAGGTCCCACCTCTTTTAAACCCCTACTGTTCAGACCCAGCTTCTAAAACTGTTCTTCTGCCTCCCTTCCTACTCACCAACTCCCTTTGCTACTGTCAATGGCACTGAAAAACTGCTTGGTTGGGGCAGTTAAATCCTTCTCAGTCACCTTCCACTAGGGGTTAATCCAGGACCCCTTTGCCTGCAGCTCTGTAGGTGGGATCCCTTCCCAACTGAGTATATTCACTCCCTGGGTTCCTGCTGCCATCACACCACCCCCCACATGAGCCCCTTCTGGACCAGTGGCCCTTGTCTGACTCAAACCATATCTTGCCAAGCCTGTTGTGACACTGTTCTTAGCAAACTCACTTTTCATGTCAGAGCCCCTGTGAAACAGACACAGATCTGAGTCATGGTATTCCTTTAAGCAACTAAAAGGGTAGAGTCTTTTCTTACATAAGAAACATGGATCCTCAGTGAGTTGTAGATGGAGTAGACGATTTTTCTCATGAGAAGGAATCTTAACTTTGAACTCCACAGAGCCCCAGGAACTGTGACTTGAACCCTAGAGATCTACTTAAATTGCTATACTTGAAAATGTTGAGGTCTGCCTGAGTCAATCTGGAGAGGATACTATGGGGGCAAAGACAGCAGTGGAAGAAAGGAATGAATTCTTTTGTCAGAGCAGTGGCAGAGAAACAGGACCAACAAGCAGATGTCTGGCAATGTGTCTGGCACATAACAGTTCTTTCAGGCTGGGCGTGGTGGCTCATGCCTGTATTCCAACACTTTGGGAGGCAGAGGCAGGCAAATCACAAGGTCAAGAGATTCAGACCATCCTGGTCAACATGTGAAACCCCATCACTACTAAAAATACAAAAATTCGCTGGGCATGATGGTAGGCACCTGTAGTCCCAGCTACTCAGGAGGCTGAGGCAGGAGAATCGCTTGAACCCAGGAGGCAGAGGTTGCAATTAGCTGAGATCTTGCCACTGCACTCCAGCCTGGGCAACAAAGCAAGACTCCAACTTAAAAAAAAAATTGTGCCCTCTACATGCGTGTGTGTGTGTATCATATTCTCATCAGAAAAAAATATATAATATATTTATAATTTAATTCATTACTGAGTATGTTCCTGATGGGGAGTGCCACCAGTTGTCAAGAAAATAACGGAAATTGAAACCTCTGCTTAGCTTGTTGTTGTTATTGAAATGTAACAACCTTACTATAAAGTGCAAAATCTTAAATAGTCCATTCAATATTTTTAAAATGAAATCTATCTGCATGATCATCTGTCAGATCAAGTTATAGGTTATTATTACCCTGGCTTCTATTATTAAAGATCCAGTTTGTCTGTTTTTGAAATTTATATAAATTGAATCATAGAGATTATATTCTTTGTGTCTGACATTTTCCTCTCAACATCCTGTCCATGATGGTCATGCATTTTTCATGTAGCAGTAAGCTTATTCTTCCTCTATTTCTATAGAGTGTTCTGTTTGTGATTATATTCACTTTCTCTTTTCTAGGACATGTTGATATGTGAATAGATGTGTTAATTCATGGGTCATCCAACCTGTGGCCCTGTACCTTTGTGTCATGACATGTCATGACTTAGGACAGCTGACATGTGGTTTCTGCATAGCAATAACTTAACCGTACAAAAAAGTGAGTGTGAGGACATAAATATATCTCCTAAACCCAAATCAATATATTCGTAACTCACCTTCCTCTTAAATGAATTTTTTTTATGAGATGGAGCCTCTGTCACCCAGGCTGGAGTGCAGTGGCATAATCTCAGCTCACTGCAACCTCCGCCTCCGGGGTTTAAGCGATTCTCCTGCCTCAGCCTCCCGAGTAGGTGGGATTACAGGCACCTGCTACCACCCTCAGCTAATTTGTAGTAGAAACAGGGTTTCACCATGTTGGCAAGGCTGGTCTCAAACTTCTGACCTCATGATCCACCATCCTCAGCCTCCCAAAGTGCTGGGATTATAGGCATGAGTCACTGCACCTGGCCTCTTAGTTGAATTTTTTTAAAGCCAGCAGTCACTCCAATTCCAACTGACATGGAGGAAAGTGTGATGGAGAGAGTGTCAGAGTGAAATGGCAGTCCTAATTGATTATGAGCAAATATCTTACTTTTGCAAAATTTTCAAAATGACTAAATTGACACCATATAAAAAGGAAGGCACTCATGTAAGGGAGGCATGTGAACCTTGGAAAACAGGCCTCCATGCCGGAGATATTAGACTGGTAGCCAGAATGTCATCAAAGCTCAGGGTTCACCATCATGGGTTGGTGTGACATTGTCACCTTCTCACCATGCAGAGAAGAAACAGCAGATCAGAAACAGACACTATGACATTAATTCCCATTTAGAAAAAAAAAGGACAGCTCACCATCAGCATTCATTTTATTTTACATAAACATGCTCTTTGAGGATGAAGCAAATCTGACTGATTTTCAATGTGAAAATAAACTCTTAAAAACTTCTTGACCGAAAGGTGTGATGTCATCAGAGCACAGGCAACCTCGGAGACGTTGCTGCCCTGGTGGTGATGCTTTTCCAGCATTCTCTCAATCGATGTGAGTCTGGAATGTACATGGCTAATCATGTGCTTGAGATTGTCCTTCTTGTCCTTCTTTAACCCATTTTAAAATTTAGAGAGTGGTGAGAGGATTGCTTACACCACAGCTTGTGCATTCTCTGGGAGTAAATGCTGCAGCCACAAGCACCACCAGCGAGTCTTAGCACAAATGGGAAAAGGGGATGGAGCTTTGCTGAGCTGAATCAGGCTAAAGGCAGAGAGCAAACAATATTTCCATCAAAGGGCTGGGGAAACCCTGGGCAGGATGGTGAAGAGACAACACCCTAGGCAGGCATTCCAGATCTTAGACCTTGCCACTCCTCAGAAGGAGATGATTGCTTTATCCTTCCTCTCATTGCACTTTTGTGCTGCCAGCCCTGCTGTGTAGTGTGGGGGCTCAAGACTAAGACAGGGTGCCATTTCTATGGAGAGAGATCAGGGAGCGGCGTCTTGAGTGAGACCCATGGCTTACCTCTCCTGAGTCCTTACCAGACTAAGATGTCCTCAAAGGCCAGACACCACCTTCCACTCCTCTGTTTTGGCACTTAATGTAGATGCAAATTCCTGCGATGCCTAATGCCCCCAGGATGATCACTGGAGTTAGTTGGCTAGAGGAAGACCAGGGGATGTTTGTTGCGTTTACTGGTGACACTAAAAGAGCAAAAAAGCACAAGCCCTGTCAAACCTAAAAACACACCAGGAACACATGGTGCCCCACATAATTAATGGATCATGTGACAGCCACTCTACCAGGCCCTGGGCCATGAAGATGAATAGGGCTTGTGCTATGTCCTTACTGAGCTCAGATTTCTACCAAGAGAGGTAGCAAATGTCCATCTGATTACCACACAATTTCATGTGATTACTGTGGTTAGAACTGCTTGGAGGATGATTAACCACAATGGGTGATACTTAATTCTATGTGAGGAAGGTGGGGAAGTCTTCCTAAGAAATGGCATTAGAGCTGGTAGAAGGGTAATTATAACAGAGGAAGAGAAGGCCTGCATGTTTACAGTGACGCAGATAGACCTGGGACCATTTAGCATTGGGTCATTGGTGACTGGATCATTGGTTAGAGGGAAGGGGTTTCTACACTCAGGAAGAAACCGTGGGAGGTGGGATGGAAAAGGGAGGTTGGTGGGAAATCCTTACAGCCATCACTGCCTCTCCAGACAGGAAGCCCATGGAGAAGTCAATCAGATTTTGTTGACCCCACAGTGTCATGGAGTGTCCCTTATGCTGTGCTGAAGTACAGGATCCAAGAAGTAAAGAGACAGGACACTGAAGAACTGGCGAAGAGCAACTGGACTCAGCAGGCCACGCAACCTATGATTGGAGATCAGGGAGGCCCTGAATGCCCAGAAGATTCTGTATTTATTAGGTACAGGCAGGGGGCAGGGTCATGAATGAGGTCATCATCTATAGGCTTAGTGATAGGGCATACATAATCACGTGAGTCACAAGCAAAGGGGACACCCCATTACGTCACCTGGGCAGAGAGGTGGGACATGTGCTGTAGGGGGCCATGCCGTGACAGTAGTACAGGGTTGTGTACAGAAAAGGGTCCACCCCCATTAGGTCACCGAGGCAAGGAGGTAGGCTGTGTGCAACAGGTGTCGTACGCAACACTTCTTATCTGGGGGCTGATGACTTCAAAGGGTTTCTAATGGAAGGATACTGTAAGCCAATGCAGTGGGAGCTGACCGACTTGTGCTCCTCTCTTAACGATATTTATGGGAGGATGATTTGAGCTAGTACAGAAGCGAGAAAAGACTGACAGGGTATACAGCCACCGTGACTGGTCACACCAGAGGGGTTCTTCCCTTCCGTTATTTGTGGGCTGTCAGGCCTGAGGCCTACTTTCCACAGGAACTGGATGCAGGGTACTACAACTCCTTTATCAGGAGGAGAGGCTCTTGTTCCAAGCCTGCCGTACATTGTATGCTCTTTCAGGCAGGGACACACCACCTCGGTGGTTGGTTCTTGTCCTGGTCTGGCTGTTTTCCCCTGTACTGCTCCTGTTCTGTGACTACTCTAGGCATTCCTCCTACTACAAACTACTCTATGGTTATATGGAAGGATTCTATAAATCAGCACTAAATGTGTTGGTACAGCTCCAACTACATCCGTTATATGATTATTTAGAAAGATTATGTGGAATTAAGTATGATTTTATATATATATATATATATATATGCTAGATATAAGTAAGCAGTGAGGTATATACTTCAGGCACTAATTGTGCCTGGGGTCTGGGCAGTTCTCCTTCCTCAGTACCCATGGAGGGTGTTACCCACAACACACACGCTGATACTCACACACGGAAGACTTTTGACCTTTAAAGAGAGCTGCCGAATTCTTCCACCCAGCTCAGTTACCTGTTGGTTCTGGCATCACCTCCCAGTGCTCTGAGAATTCCCCGAGCCAGTGATTGCAGTCTCCCATTGAGAGCTTCCTGAAATACTTTTCCAGCCCTCTGTCTTTCTTCCATGTCTCCTTGATCTTGCTGGCTTCATGATTAATTACTGTCCAGGTCATGTTCATCGCATCAAAGAGGAGGGATTCCTCTCCACTAATGACAAACTGCCAGGACGCACCAGTGCATTGTTCTGCTTCACGCTGACAAAACATCTCGGCCTGCAGAGTGGAAGGACCTGCAATCCAGACACAAAGCCATCATCCTCACTCTTAAGAGGTCCATCATCTACCAACAGGTCAAGAAATGCAGCACATTTAGGGGCCTGCATTTCTACCTGGACTTGTCCTTTCTTGCCCGTTGGGTTCTATGTGCCTCTATGATTGGGCCAATGATCAATACACAAATACACCTAAAGCCCCTCCCCACCTGTGCTCTTCCCTCTCCCCTCTTGCTGCCTGCCTCCACTTCCACATTCCATTCCACACTTACCACTGGTGTTTATCTGTGGTTTGATGTCAAGAAGGAGCATCCTGAGGTTTCTCCCCACTTCTCCCAGCTTTTGGGTCAATTCTCCCAATGTGCTGGTGGCATTTACCTTCTTCCCCAGGAGGCCCACAGGTTTGACCATGTTGCTTTCACTGTTGTACTGAAGGAAAAGATTTTTATTCATGAAGACCTGCGCTTTGCACCAGGGCTGCCCTGGTCTGGACCATGATTTTATAGCAAAGTCAAAGCGAAGAGAGTGAGCACCTGTGAAAGAAAAACGCAGGTGAGGTCCAGGACAGGGGAAGAGGCCCATTAGAACCTGAGCTTCTCTGACCCCAGACTTCCTGGACCGCGGCCAGGCTGGCAGAGGGGACAGCTCCATCCCAGACTCCTTCAACCTTCCAGATCTCTGCTCCCGTCTCCCCTTGACTCTCTGGGGGGAGATACTTGATGGTACCAGGGACCTCTGGGGTCCACTTAGTGTTAACAGCGTTAACAGGAGAATTCATGTCACAGATACTTTTAGCAACCTCTACCAAGTTCCGAGGTACAAAGCAGACAAGCCAGTTTGTGACCTCCTGAGACTTCAAATCTAGCAGAACACATAGGACATTCAACAAAAAGGAAAAAGAGGCATTTATTATGGGACACATACCAAATTCCTCCTGGGTCCTGGGTGTTCAGGAAAGGGTCCTGGAGTAGAAGGTGGGAGGTAGCACTGTAGAGCTGTCACCTGTGAGTCAGTGCCTGGCCTGGGATCTCAGGCTGGGGTCTCCCACAAACTAGGAGTAACGTCCCAGGGATCCTCTTCCTCACCTCATCCTTAAGAGCAGGTACCCACTTGCCTGAAGCCTGAATGAAGCCCCAGTCACCTACCCCCAACCTTTCTCCCTCCTCCTCCCTGTCCTCAGCCTGGTCTTGTGATCTCAGGACACTCACCAACCCCGATCTCCAAGGCTATTAGTAGCAACAGTAGATGGCAAAGAAGGTGCACAGGGTGAGGAGTCAGGGACATTCTTGGCACACTGTGGAGAGTAACAGGCAAGAAGCGGGGCGGGCATACATACACCCTCACTGGAATGGTGAAGAAATGTTGTTCAACAGTGTGGCCGTGGGCACTGCCCAACAGAGGCACAACAAAGGACAGACCTGTAGAGACTCAATTAAAGAAGAACTTTGTGAAGGGAGTGTTTTTCAAATGTTCAAAATATAATTATTTATTGAAAAATAACAGGAGACATTTGAAAACAAAATTAACTTTGAATAAACTCTCTCTCCTCTCCTATCCCCAATGCCCCCGCAAAAAACCCCCTCTGGTGTGAGCAGGATGGTTGGAGGTTACATGAGCTCCTTCTCCCTTCCTCCAGTTTCCTCTTCCCTTCCCCTCCCTGCCTCTTTTGCTTTTCCGTTTCTTCCTGTGCCCCCTCCCCCTTCCTGTATTTTCTTCCATTTCCATTCTCCCCTCTCCCACTATTCATAACCCATTAAAACTCTGTACTCTTAAAGGGTTGAGATTTTCTCTCATCAACCACACCCCAACATTAATTCAACTAGCTGCTAACAGGCAGCAACTGGTCTACCATTACAGATGGATTTCATAATAGAGTCCAGCAGTCCTGCTGGGGCCAAGACCTCAAGGAGTTCTGCATATGAATCTGAAGGGAAGGCAAACATCTAATCTGTCACACCACCCATATCCTTTCCACTTATAGGTTCCCTCTGTGTGCTGGGTAGTATGCTAATTAATTCAAGTGCATGTCACACCCATATGATGACATCCTGTGACTCAGATGCTGGGACTCCCGTCATACCTGGTAAGTGGGTCTTTACCCCTGTCCTTTCTTAACTAGATGGAACAGATTTCAAAGATAGAAACTATGGACTATGGGCAGGGGTCTCTCCAGGGCTGGGGGGATAAGGGGTTGTTTGCTCAGAGGACAGCTGGTCAAGGGTTTGAAGGGGCCCAGGAATGCACATTTTTTACACATTTCCAGAAGTCAGAAAGAAGAAATTAGGACAAGAGAACAAGAAGGAATCCCCATCCACCCAAATTGAAGAAATTGGGACCCCAGGCTGGAGAGAGAGGTACAGATCTGTGAGTACTTCGTGTGCAGGCAGAGGACCCCCAGAGCTACCCCGACCTCCCTGCCTTAGCCAGTGTCCTCTCCCCCACACCCCCACAGCTCCCCCAACCCCACTTTTACTTCATTAACTGCCCTTGGCTTTCTCACCACCCGAGCCCCTGTTTTATTCCTTCACTCCCAAACATGCTCAAGTTCCCTCTGCACTGGTGTTTGGAACACGTGCCAACTCCCATCCCCTACCTTGTGCCAGCAGGAGACCTTTGTCCTTCTGCCCTCTCTAGGATGGAGAGGCTTGAAGTGACTGCTTTCTCAGAGTCTTATTGCACAAACTCTCAGAGGAGCAGAAATCGGCTCAGTTCCTCTGGGTGTGGTGAGGCCTACGTAACAGAACACCCATTCATCATGCACACCCAGTGGCACAGCCAACTGTCACGTAGTTATTCTAGGACAGGGCTTCTTGTTAGGAAATGGATTTAGTTCGATACTGATTCATCAGTGAACAATTTTAGCAGTTGTTGGAGACCAGCATGTAATGGCATACATATGTTTTTCTTAATATGTAGATGGAGGGGAAAAAAGCCTAAACCTTTTTTCAGGGTTTAGGCTTCTGCGGTCCTGGCATAGCAGGGACAGCAGCCCTACTTTGTGTCTGGAGGGTGCTGGTGCCCTCTATCGCCTGGTTTCTCGGTGAACATTTTAGGATCATCCTGCTCTCTAGAGGCCTGGAGCTCCTGCCCCTGAACTGAGCTCGCATTCCCACTGTGTTTCACTGAACCTCGCTGTTTTCTTCTTGTAACTCCATCCCCCTCCACAACTGGAAGACCAGCTCTCCTCCTGCATCTTCCTTGAAAGACACCTGCCCACTTCCATACAAAGCCCCCACCAAAGTGACACCAGCTACTTGTGAATGGAGCCAACTTTACTGAAGATTTAGAGGTTATGTGGTAAGATTGTGAAGATTATTTTTAAAAATCACCTATTAGCTGGACCTCTTTCCTATCTCTTCTTTGAACTAGAAATAAAGCGTCTATTATTTGACTACACTGTCATCTAGTCCCCAACCCTTGTTCTTGGCCACCTGTCCTCCTGGCCAGGGTGATTGCTGTCCTGCCCTTCTTGGCCTCCATGCCTGTCCCTGCCTCCCAAATGGCTACTGACAACAGAGCAGCCAGAGTGATCCTTCCGAACCTCACCACGCGCGTCCCTCCTGTGCTGCAAACGCTCCCAAAGCGCCCCTTTTCTCTCAGTAAAACCAAAGTCACCAGGGACGCCTAGGGAGCCCTGCGCAGCCTGGCCAGCTGTCCTCTACGCTGCCCCCTCGCTGCTCAGCTCCTACCCCCACCCTCGGCCTCCTCGGCCTTCTCACTGGTCTTCAGAGCCCTGCAGTTGTCCCTGTGCCCCAGGACTTTGCATTGCCCTCCCCTCAGCGTGCACTGCTGCTCAGGCATCTGCTGGGCTCACTCCTGCACCCGCTCCAGGTGCACCTTTGCCTGCCCCTCCCATTGAAATCCTTTTATTCATTTCCTTCTTTCTTTCCTTTTTAAAATTGTGATATAATTCATGTAACATGAAAATCTTTTTAAGAGACAGAGTCTCACTGTGTTGCCCAGGGTGGTCTTAAACTCTTGGGCTAAATAAATGGTTAGACATCCTGTGTTCCAATAGATAGAAAACTTAATATTGTTAAAATGAAAATAATCCCGAAGCTTATTGAACTGACAGACTCATTGCAATCTATATTAAAATTTCAGGGCCGTTTGTTGGAAGGGGGGAAGGGCCCTTAGAGGAGGTTGTGTTGGGTTAGGCCTAAGGTGACTAAAATTCAACGTAATTCACCACTCTGAAGATTAATTTCTTTCTAGGTACCAACTCTTCTGGTACTTAAGAAAAACATGCCGGACTCGGTGACTCATGCTGATAATCCTAGCACTTTGGGAGGCGGAGGGAGGTGGATCACGAGGTCAGGAGTTCAAGACCAGCCTGGCCAGCATGGTGAAACCCCCGTCTCTACTAAAATTACAAAAAATTAGCTGGGTGTGGTAGCAGGCACCTGTAATCCCAGCTACTCGGGAGGCTGAGCCAGGTGAATTGCTTAAATCCGGCAGGCGGAGGTTGCATTGAGTCAAGATTCTGCGGCTGCACTCCAGCCTGGGCAACAAAGTGAGACTCCATCTGAAAAAAAAAAAAAAAAAAAGAAAAACATGTCCTCCTAATACCATGACTTTGATCTTATTCAATCTGTACGATAATAACCCTGACCACACTATACAAAAGGATATGAATTGAGGAAACCCACTTATCTTTCCAAACTTGGACTGCAAGTGAGAAATGGCAGTGTCACAGATGTGGACAGGAAGACAAAGGGTGATATAGCCAGTGGACTACCAACTGGATTTGTTATTTCATTCTCAAGAACCAGAGGGGAAAATATCTCAATCACACTTGATTTCAACACACCAAGTCACCAAGCCAAACAATTTATAAACGCCCACAAAGAACAAAACTGTTCTGAGCTCGTCATTCAGGAAATGCAAATTATAATATTATGACATGCATAAAATTGTATAGATAGTAACTGACCTTTCATTGAAAAGAGGAGGAGTCAAAGATCCTCAAAGGGTTGGGACCTCCTGCTGTCAGTCCCTAGGGAACATCCTGTTGTCACCACACCTCTGAATGAGTTGTCTGAGCTCGCTGTGAGCAAAACCCACAGGGGAAACTCTTAAGCCTCTTCGAAGTAAATTATTCTTGTGAATGTGACACACGATCTCTCCAGTTTCCATGTTGAGATTTTACGTATTTGTCAGTTTTATGTGCTTGGCAAGAGCAGGTAGGTCATTTACTAATTGCTTTTCTTAACTGCTTAAAAAAAGTTGTGTTGTCATTTTGCATCTCATCATTCCACTTCCTTCAGTGAACGTTTTTAAGTTCCATAGAGTTGTTTTTAAGGAAAACGATGTGGAAAGCCAGTATTATTTCCTTTCCTTAAAAAAAAAGAGATATAGGTTAAATAAACTTTCTAATCCTAAAAAAAAAAAAATTCTCAATAGCAAAAGAAGCTATTACTTCTTTGAATTAATTTCTTTTTATGTACAACAATCGGATATGTTGAAAAATCTAGAAGTCTTATTTTTTTCTTGGCCTAATTATCTGTGCCTTTCTACCTCTGTGAAATGAGATGATTTATTATCTGGAAATATAAAAATTTATCTTAATGATATATTTAATATATTGAGGGTTGGTTTTTATATTTTCATGCATTGAGAGTTTATTTAAACTATTCTTAGAGAAAATATAATTTTATATAGATAAACTCCTTGGAATGGTTCCTAGCACACTTATAACTCAAGGATTATTAATCATAATGAAGAAATCAAAATTAAAACCTTAATGTACCTGATAATGTAACAAAAATAAAGTGAAATGCTTAAAAAAATAAAAGTCAACACTTTGCAACCTTTTTAGAAATTCAGTTTTGTTTCACATAGCTGTGATAATGAAGGCTGGTATAATTTTTTTGAAGGGCAAAGGGTAAATAGGTTACATATTAAGACCTGGAAAATTGTCCACGCGCTTTAAGCTAGTAAAACCACTGCTGGGAACTTAGGATAAATTAATAACTTTTAAAAGAAAAAAGCCTTCTATTCAGATAAGTCTAATTGTATTACTTGTAATAACTTGAAACTAGATATAACCGAAATGTTTCTACATACAGGAATGGATGAAACATGGTATGTCAACCGTCGTAATTTTTTTTAAGTAGCCTTTAAATTAATTCTGACGCGACCGGGCGCGGTGGCTCACGCCTGTAATCCCAGCACTTTGGGAGGCCGAGACGGGTGGATCACGAGGTCAAGAGATCGAGACCATCCTGGTCAACATGGTGAAACCCCATCTCTACTAAAAATACAAAAAATTAGCTGGGCATGGTGGCGCATGCCTGTAATCCCAGCTACTCGGGAGGCTGAGGCAGGAGAATTGCCTGAACCCAGGAGGCGGAGGTTGCGGTGAGCCGAGATCGCGCCATTGCACTTCAGCCTGGGTAACAAGAGCGAAACTCCGTCTCAAAAAAAAAAAAAAAAAAAAATTAATTCTGACGCTATGAAGAAATAAGCTAACGTTTTTAAAGTCACGCAAAGTAGAAAAAGCAGAACTTAAATTTGCTGGTAAACTATAATTACAACTATGTTAAAATCATGCGTTCTTAGATGAAGTTTAGAAGGGAAATAGAAAAACAGTATTAGGATTTCTGGCCTATAAATAAAGTTTTCTTTATATAAAAAGAAAAATTCAGCTGACGTTTCTGCAGAAATTGCCAAGCTGATCCCACTATTTCTACAAAAAGTGCAAAGAACACAGAATAGTCAAACCAATCTTTAAAAAGAAAAGCAGTTTTGCAATACTTACACTTTCCAATTTCAAAACTTATTACAAATCTGTAATACTCAAGATACTGCAGTGGTATATAAAAACGGACCTATAGATGAAAAGAATGGAATGAGAGCCCAGAAAGTAATCATCAAATGTATGATCAGTTGATTTTCAACAAAGGTGCCAAGATGATTCTATGATGAAAAAATAGTCTCTTTAATGGTGTTGGGACAACTGTATATTTATGTGTAAGAGAATAAATTTAGACCCCTTCCTTTATACCACACACAAAAACTAACACAAAATGAATCATTAACCCAAACATATGAGCTAAAACGATAAACTCTTAGAAGAACACATCTAAGTAAGATTTTCTGACATTTTCTTAGGCAAAACTTCTTATAGATGACACTAAAGCACAAGCAGCAAGATAAAAAAATCAAATTGGATTTCATCAAAGTTTAAAGTTTTGTTCTACAAACAAGGAACAGTGGCGTGCACCTGCAGTTCCAGCTACTCAGAGGGCTGAGGTGAGAGAATCTCTTGAGGCCAGGAGTTCAAGGATACTGGAAGCTATACTGCATTTTAGCCTGGGTAACAAAGTGAGACCCTCTCTCACTTTAAAAAAAAAAATGGCCAATTGGGAGAGGGATAGGGGCAGGAGCACCCACACCTGGTCTCCTCCATGACCCACAGTGGGGTTGCACTGTCAGTGGGACCTGGTGAGCATGAAAGCCCCTGGGTCTCTGCAGCTCCGCAGAGGACCCCAAGGAGCTGTTCAGCCACTTGCAGAGACAGGCAGAAAGTGCTTCTAGGAGTGCAGAGAGCCTTGGAGAAGTGGAAAGCTCAAGATTGCTATCTGTGTGACTTGAGTAATTTACACAGGATCACATCTACAGAGGAGGCTCACCTTGGCTTATCAATGCTTTTACCTCCCTAACCCTCCAGAACAGAGTTGGTGCTTACATCTTTTCACAGATTGCTATGTCAACTGAAACGAGAAGCCAGAATTGC